CTAAATAATGGTAATAATAATAAGATAAAATATGGAAATAAATAAATGATACAATACAAAATTTTTTTTACATGTAAATATGAAAACACAAATCATACAATCTCTCTCTCTCTCTCTCTATATATATATATATATATATATATATATATATATATATATATATATATATATAGAAATGAAATAGGAAAAAAATTTCTCGCCAAATAAGATTAGCAATATGAATGCATTTATTGTGTTCACATTTATTGGTAAAGTTTTATATTTAATATAATTTTTGTATATATTCATTTATTTAAACCTCAATTATAATTAATTTGACTCCACATATATAAAAATGAGAAATTAGATATAAAATAAACATAGTTCTTACATAAATAATTATTTTTAAATGAATAAATTTTTTGTAGAGATTTTTGACAAATATTGCCTGTTATTTTATTTACAAATTTTATTTAAATACGTTAGCTATGTAATTAAATTAGTTATCTCAATTTCAAATTCAAATAACAATACAATTAACAATAAACATTAAATACGTTAGCTATGTAATTAAATTATCTCAACTCACTGAAGCATAAAAAGCCAATAATGCCACCATTGAGGCTCAAACTCATAACTTCTCATATGAGAGTCCAACCCAGGTGCCATCTATGCACAAGATGCTTGGCAAATATTACATTGTATATAGTTATACTTACATTTTCTTTTGGAAAATAAAGAAGGTATACTTACATTTTTAATCAAATCAATTAGTATTATAACATTACAACAATACCTATAAATTTTTGTATGTGCATCGCACAGGACAAATACTAGTTTTTTTTTAAAAGGAAAATAAGATCTTCCTTGCTTATAGATATAACTAGTTTTTTACGCGCATTGCGCGATTGAGATAATGCCAAATGTTTTTTTTTTCTTTTAAATAAGTACTTTAAAGTATATCAAGGCAAGATTATATTGGAAATGTTAATGCATAGATAATTGAATGTTGAATTTACGTATTTAAATAGGTAATTCTAAGTTTACAAATGCAAGATAATATAGTCAAGATTGATTATAAGTGTCAATAAAATAATTGTATAGGTATGGTTGAAACCAAATACGGGACATAAGGGAGAGCAAATAAAAATTAGGGTATAAAATATTAAATATATACTAATATTAAAGAGCTAACTGCTGATTGCCAAACAATGACATTCTGAGGTATAGTTTCCCACTTCAATTTGTTGTGTTATTTGAATACTTTTTTGGTCAATAAATCCCCCAAGTATTTAATATGATTGGCTTAGTTATATATTTTTATTTTTTTAAAACTTTTTTTTTTTGAAAGCTACTGGTTCTATTACATTGTAGTATCTGGTTCATATATTTTTTTAAAACAATTATTATTATTATTATTATTATTATTATTATTATTATTATTATTATTATTATTATTATTATTATTATTATTATTATTATTATACCCTTAGGTTATTTACATATTAATCTAAACAGCTAATTTTTTCAAATATCTTTTTATCAACCGTTGATATAATTCGCTGGTCAAATCTGCTAATGCTAACCGATAACTACTGATTGTTAAACAAAGACATTACGAGATAGTTCTCACTTCAATTTGTTGTGTGATTTGAATACTCTCTTTGTCAACAAATTCCTGAAATAGTTAATATGATTGACTTTATTAATTTTATTTTTTAATTTTTTCATGGTATTAATAAAATACTTGGTAAATAAATATATAGCATTATTTTGTATTACAACTTTGATATTTAATTAAAAAAATAGTGCACAAAAAAAAGATAATAGACAATGTAGTGAATATAATCAATTAATGAATTTGAATGTAAATATTTTTACATTGGAGAAAAATAAAGACAATATAACTAATAAAATTATTTCTCTTAATTAATTTATTGATAATGAATAATTTTTTTAATAAAGACATTGTAGGGACACTGTTGCGAATATAACCAATTGATGAATTTGAATATAAAGAACTTTTATATTGGAAAAAAATAAAGACAATATAACTAATGAAATTATTTCTCTTATTTAATTTATTGATAATGAATAATTTTTTTTTGAATAAAGACATTGTAGACACATAATTCTAAATTAAAAAAATGCATATGTATTATTTTTTGTTGTAGCTACTAAATTATTATTTAATTTAAGGGAAATGACACTTTTTGCTCTTGAGTTATATACTTATAGCATTTTTCCCCTGAATTATTCATGTAAGCATATTAGCCCCCTCAATTATTTTAAAAGTGGTGGTTTTCCCCCCCTGATATATTAAATTGACATTTCTACCCTTAAAATAAACATCCTATTTATTTTTCTTCTCCAACAAATTATTGCGTATACGTAGGGATGACCACAGTTCAATTCGAATTGAACCGGACACTATAGCAATCAAATTAAAAGTTTCCGGTTACGATTCAGATTCAGAACCCAATATTTGGATTTCAGTTTATTAAAATTATGAATTGAAAAAAATTAGATCTTGAACCGTGAACCGACGGTTCTGGATCTGGTTTGTGATTTTGAACCGTCTTTATTTTAAAATTTTATTTTTTATTTTAAAATAGTCTAAATTCAACAATAAATGTATTTTATTTTTTTCAGTTTGAAACATGAACCGGCCGTCCCGGTTCGTGATTTTAATAAACTCTAAATATCGGGTTTCGATTTTAAATTGTAATTAGAATATTTCAGTTTGGTTGCTATAGTGTCTGTTTGGTTTGAACCAAATTGTGGTCATAATTTGTTGGAGAAGAAAAATAAATGAAATATTTAGTTTAAGGATAAATATGTCAATTTAATATTTCAGGGGGGAAAACAGCCACTTGAATAATTCAGGAGGAGAAAGTGTTATAAGTATATAACTCAAGGGAAAAGTGTCATTTTCACTTAATAATTTAATAAGAGTAAAATAAAGTACTAATTATACCAATTTTGATTGGGATGGAATTCGAACCTAAGACCTTTCTTATTGAGGATCGTTATGTTGTGCATCTGTATGCACCATGCGATGCAAAAACGACGTCACTTTATTAAAAACGCACATCCCACTTAAAAAAAAAAATCAGTTTCGATTCTCTTCAACAGCATTATGTTGTTCATTCATTCTGGAATTTTAGTTCATAGATTCTGGAATTTTAGTTCATTGATTATGTATATTTAGACGTAAATTGAAACTGATTTTTTTTTTCATTCATGCTGGATATTTAGTTCATTTATTATGGATATTTAGTTCATTTATTATGGATTTTTAGGTCATAGATTATGGAATTTTAGTTTATCGATTCTGGAATTTTAGTTCAAATTATACACAATATAATGTTGTTGCTGGGAATCAAAACTATTTTTTTTTTTTTTTTAAGTGAGACGCACGTTTTTAATAAAACGACGTCATTTTTGCATCTGTATGCACCATGGATGCACATCATAATTTGCCTCTTATTGAAATCAATGACTACTACTCGGGAGAACGCAACCCTGAAGTCTGAAATCAAGAAGAAGGACGTAGAGGGTAGCAAAGTGAATGAGGAGTCTGCTGCTTTAGTAGAAACCGCAAAAGCTGCAGAATGAGAAGCCCTGATGAAGCTCGCATATCTAACAGAGGAAGCCGATAAAAGCAGCAGAAAGGCAGCACGCGTTACCGAGCAGCTGGATGCAGCACAGGCTGCAAATTGTGAACTGGAAATCGAGTTGAGAAAGCTGAAAATGCAGTCCGATCAGTAGAGGAAAGCCGCCGAGGCAGTAACATGCTCACAACCGGTAACAACGGGAAATTTGTTGGGAGGACAGTTTCAATGGACTACCACACCATTGGCGGGAGGCTAGGCTCTCCGTTCTCCGAAGACATGGAAGACGACTCCCCCAAGAAGAAGAACAATGGTAGCGTGCTAAAGAAGATCGGTGTGCTATTGAAAAAGTGCTAGAAATAGACGAAACGCATTGTAGGTAGCCATAAAATCTCTCGATTTATAGTCCATTTGAAACAATTTCTTCCATTATGTGTCTATAACCAGTCTGTTTTGATATCCATTCTTAACAGGTGGTTCTTTCTGGAATAAACATATTAGCAGACTTTTGTATAGCTATGATTATGATTATGATGTGGGCATTGTAGCAGATAGTTGGAGGTGTAGCAATTGTTCCCTGCATTTTTATGTGTTTATTATGTTAATTGGCCAACAGTTTGGTCTGTCCTGTATCATCGTACTGTATTTTAACAATCTCAAGTAATTTGATGCTCATATGACTGATTTGTGAATTTTAAGTCTCTGTACTTTTATCATTTGAGAAATCTATACATGTAACTGGAAATCTTTATGTGAACTATCAATTGGAGCCTATTATAATGGCAATTTTTTTTTTTTTTTTTTTTGTTGAGTGACGAGGAAATCTTCCATTACTGTTCGATGGTGTGAACGAGATAAATTTAGCCTTATTATTCTGTGAACCTATTTAGGTTGTCTATAGTTGATAAGTTAATAAGTTCTCAAACTAAAAATGTTAATAAGTTCTTATTGGGAGTCGAACTTGTAAGTTTGTTGTTATCAAGTCAACAATTTGATCTAGTAAATTGATCACATAGGCTTTAAAAAAAAAATAAAAAATCGAGCACATAGTCCTGGATACATGCATTAATTTATTAAAAAATTTAATTCTTAAAAAAAAATTTAAAACAATCGGGTATCTGCTACTACTATTCCAGCTTCACGCACAACGGCTTCAACAAGAACTATATGAATAGCATAGCGTTGTAGCGCTAGTCTAAACTAGAAGCTGTTGCTTGTTCGGTAGCTTATATAAATGGTAGCCCTTTTATTTATTATTTAGAATAAACTGAATGCGGAAAGTATGGAAAAACATCTCGTAATGTATTTAACCAGAAAATATATTATACTCCTGCGGCCTACTTCTCATCCTAGGGTTTGCAGGTATGAAAGAGTCCCCTCTCTGTCAGAAGGTGTGACTGTCTTGCCTCAAACGGGGCCCCCGGGAGGCCCGTCGGAGGCAGCAGAAACCGCATCTACGAGAAGCTGCAGTGGATAGGCTGAAAGCAGTAAAGCATCAAAAGAGGATCTCCTGCGGTCTCCACTACCAGACCTGCTTTCCACGGCTTACCATAATAGGATAGGAGCTGCTCGAAAAGAAGCTATAGGCGGGCTTCCTTCTTTCGCTCTCTCTGGCCTAGCTTAACCTCTCAGTTCCACAACTAACCCCCAAAAGAGCTGGCAGATGCAAGGAATAGGACAGGAGGTCTCACAAATGCACACAATAATAAGAATTCACATCTGAACAGTTTTCTATATATATATATATATATATATATATATATATATATATATATATATATATATATATATATATATATATATATATATATATATATATATATATATATATATATATATATATATAAAAGAAAGAGTATTTATACTATGGAACCATTCTACTCATATTTTTCACATTCAATTTTAAGTTTTACCCACCTTTCACTATTATCACCATCTTCACTATTGTCATCATCGTCACCGCTATCATCGTCGTCACCGTCGCTATCGTCATTGCTATCATCATCATCATCATCACCGCTATATTATCATCAATGAATTCACAATCATCATCATCATCATCAATGGATTCATTGTAGATCCATTCAAGAAAGAGGTTGATCAAAGAGTAAAGGATAATCAGGATAAGCTGAGAAGCTGTAATGAAACCCATAAACCGGAATAGGATTCTATAGTTGTCATTTTTGAAATAATATACATAATATAAAGTTGATGCTTGTAGAAGAAGACAATACAACCAAATCAGTATAGCAACCTTGGTAAACATGATTAATATAATATCTAAATAGCTTGTAGAATGATGAAAGAAGATTATAGAATGATGAAGAAAATTATAGAATGATGAAGGGTTTATATAGTATTAACTAGTTATTATGTTTAAGGATTTTAGTATGATTGGGAAACCATAAGTTAATCTTAAACCAGTTATAATTTTAGTATTTTAGTATGATATGCCAACTTTAATCCATTAGGATTTTAATATGATGGATATAACCTTTCTATAATTTATCTCATTAATATATATATATATATATATATATATATATATATATATATATTATATTTTATAATTTTTATTTCTTTGGTAGTAAAAGACACCAAATTATTATATATGTATGTAATATTTCATCTATATTTTTTCTTCTTTCAGGTGGGCGATTGATTGACAAATCTATTTCTACTATCTATCTACTTCTACTCTTATATATATACTAGTTTTTTACGCGCATTGCGCGATTGGAATAATGCCCAATGTTTTTCTTAAATAAGTATTTTAAAGTATATCAAGACAAGATTATATTATAATTGTTCATGCATAGATAATTGAATGTTGAATTTGCATATTTAAATTGGTAATTCTAAGTTTACAAATGCAAGATAATATAGTCAATATTGATTATAATTGTCAATAAAATAATTGTATGGGTATGGTTGAAACCAAATACGGGACATAAGGGAGAGCAAATAAAAATTAAAGCATAAAATATTAAATATATACTAATATTGTTTGAGGAGATTCCGGCTGATTTGTGGTTAGAGTTCTATTAAGACTTTAATATTAGAATTAGATTAATGTTGTAGTTATAATTCTATATTATACTTTAATATTAGAATTAGACTAATGGTCATTTTTTCTACCCAATGTTAAAAATTAAAATCTGAACAATCTGAACTATTCATTTGATTTAATAATTTGACGGTCATTTTTTCTACCCAATGTTTATAATTTAATAAATATTTGAAAGTATATAAATGCAAGACTATATATGAGAAGTTCAACATAAGTAATTTAATGTCTAATTTGTTTATTTAAATATGTAATTCATAGTATATGAATACAATGTAATATAGGAGATTCATTATAATTGTTACTAAACTTTTTTTAATTTATTGATAATGAATAATTTTTTTAATAAAGACATTGTAGGATCACTGTTGCGAATATAACCAATTGATGAATTTGAATGTAAAGAATTTTTATATTGGAGAAAAATAAAGACAATATAACTAATGAAATTATTTCTCTTATTTTTTTGAAAGTTACTGGCTCTTCTAAATTAAAGAAATGCATATGTATTATTTTTTTGTTGTAGCTACTAAATTATTATTTTAATTTAATAAGAGTAAAATAGAGTACTAATTATGCCAACTTTAATTGGGATGAGGTTCGAACTTGAGACCTTTCTTATTGAAATCAATGAGTAAGTTAATGGTGAACTAACAGAAATTAATGAAAAAGATAATATTTATTAGAAAAGTTAACGGATAATCATATTCATTAAGGATAAATTAGGAAATCTCAAGGAAAAATTAAAATCTGAGCCATTCATTTGATTGAAAATATTGACCGCCATTTTTTCTACCCATTATAGGCATAACTCTCTTGGGTTCTTATTAGTATAGTATATATATATATATATATATATATATATATATATATATATATATATATATATATATATATATATATATATATATATATATATATATATATATATATATATATATATGGCTTACTCTATGGAAACTCAAAATCCCCCCCCCCCCCCCCCCCCCCCCCAAAGTGAAAGACATTCCTTTGAAGAGCAATTAATGATATTCTCCCCACCACTACAAATTTGCTTATAAAGAGAGTGGACGTGGAACCAAATTGTGCTATGTGTTGAATATCTCAAGAAAATACTATGCATGCTTTGATGTTGTGTGATTATGCAAAGGCCATTTGGGGATATCCAACCTTCCAATAACCAATAGTGTGACAAATATTTTCATGTTTGGTTTGGAGATCTTCTAAATGTTCTTGACTGTAATAGAATATTATATGCAACAACTATTCTATATCACATATGGAGAGCACGGAATGGAGCGGTGTGGGATGCCTGCCTTCCACGCCCGAGGGGTTTGATTGCGGCAGCCACCGCAACCATACTAGCATGGCAGCAAACCCGCCACACCACCGTCGCGAGGACGCCGACCGACCATCCTGCTGCCTCGGCCGATGCACCGCCAGTACTGCATGGGCAGTCCGTCACCATGGCAGCCGCGGTAGCCGCCCCTCAGCCGAGAATTTGCCGCTTCGATGTTGGTTACCTCCACGAAACAGGCAAGGCAACATCGGGTGCAGTCCTCCTCGATGCAAACGGGGGATATGTTGCAGTATTCAGTACGCCCCTTCAAGATTGTTTCTCACCGCTCATGGCCGAGGCGATTGCATGCAATGAAGTTTTGTCATGGCTAAAGGATCGGGGAGAGGAGTCTGTAAAGCTTTATACGGATTGCCTCACACTACAGCATTATCTCACTTCGCCACCATCTATGTTCCGTTCGTACGTTGGCTATGCTATCAATAGCTGTCGGGCAGCTGCAACTTCGTTTGGTTTTTGTTCTTTTAATTTTATTCATAGATCGAACAATTATTTAGCACATACCTTAGCATCTACATCTTTCTAGCATCATACTACTATGTATTGGGATTTAATCCCTCCTGACATTATTACGGCTTATTTCTAATGATATTACCACTGATCTTTCAAAAAAAAAAATGCTAGCAATTAATTAACTAAGTAAATTTAATGTTAATTTTTTGGTCATTATTTTAAAATTCTTTTATATTATTATACTTCTATTACAAGACTAGTTCTTTTACGCGCTTTACGCGAATGGAATAATGCCCAATGATTATTTTTAAATAAGCATTTCAAAGTATATCAATGTAATATTATATCGGAGATATTCATGCATAGGTAAATAAATGTTGAATTTGTTTATTTAAATCGGTAATTTAAAGTATATAAATTCAAGATAATATATGAGAGATTGATATATTGTCACTAAAATAAATGTTTGCAACTTTGTAATAACGTTTATATTGTCACTAAAGTAAATGTTTGCAACTTTGTAATAACGTTAGTCTAAATACTTAGTCTGAAAACGATAATCTAAATAAATACTACTTTTGGTTTAAATTTCTCTAATTATTCTTAATTCTCTTTTGGGTAGTATTGTCATTGTCTTCATCTTTAGTACATGTCCTTTTTTTTTTTTTTTAGTGTGTCATGTGCAATTGGGTTACTGGTGATAGCATAGATGAACTCATCGTGCAATGAGATTATGGTGTAGGAAGTTTTAGATTTGCCTTGTTGTATATATGATGGGATCTTAGTTGTACTATTAACTTTTTATCTTACAAGCACCTATTATTGATATTTGGTAGTGGTACGTAGTTTTTCCCCTACATGTTTCATGCGTTGTGAGATGTGTGTCGTAGGTTATCATGTGAAAGTATTGAACAAAATATTAATATTTATTATATTTGTATAAAATACTTGGTAAATAAATATATATAACACATTTTGTATTATAACTTTGATATTTTTTTTTTTTTTTGAAAGTTATAACTTTGATATTTAATTATAAGATAATGTAAAAAGAAGACAATGGACAAATGTAGTGAATATAATAAATTAATAAATTTAAAGGTAATGAATCTTTGAATTGTAGAAAATAAGATAATATAACGAATGAAATTATATCTCTTTTTAAATCTTTTTATAATGAATAATTTTTTAAATAAAGGCATTATAGACATCTAATTCGAAATTAATTAAATGCATATGTATTATTTTTTTGTTGTAGCTACTAATTTATTTAATTTAATAAAAGTAATAAAGTGACGTATATACTTTTCATCAACAATAATGAAATCATTGATTTTTTTTTTACATTTATTATTGAGATAAATTGTTTTGAGAGTTTGTCAATGACAATTGTTACAATTCATGTGTATAGATGATGATAATAAATAATTCAAAATATATAGTTACTATAGATATTGTTATAATGATATAGTAAAAATTAACTTACAAATTTCTTTAGAAGTTTTCATGCATTGATAAAATTCTGATGTGTATACTTGTTCAATTGGAACCCGTGGGATGTCAACATTGTCAATTCTTTGGAAAATGGTCCTACCATTTTAGAGTCTAGGTGTAATGTATTTATGATCAACAACTTTGTAGTTAGGTCGTGCAGGTCTGACAATGATGTAAGAACCATTTTGTCCGATAAAAAAATAATAGTATAATATTTGTAAAGTAATGTACAATTGTACCATTATAAAAATACATACAAAAAATATTAATACCGTAACCACCTAAATCATACTAATAATACAAAAGTATAATTGAAATATTAAGTTTTGTTCTGATCTAAATAATCAAAAGAAGATGAATTAAACGAAAAAAAAAAAGAAAAAAACAAAAACAAAAAAAACTTAACCTAATTTTTTTTAATGCATAAAAATCAAATGATTTTTAAAGTTCTTGATTTATAATATTTGATGCTTAACTTTGAATGTTATGTATTTAGTCGGACTAATTATTGGATCAAAGTTTATGTTAAATTTTATATTATACATATTTTTAATATATTTTAACATATTCGTAGTATATGTTTAACAATTATGCTAACTATAATTAGGATGGGGTTCGGACCTAAGACCTTTCTTATAGAAATTAATTAATGAGTACGGTGAAAGTAATAAATAGTTAACGGAATATCCCGTTACTCAAGTTTATACTAACGGAATTTAGGTTATTTAAGGGAAGAAAATAATATAATAGATGGTAAATAAGGAAAATCATTAAAAAAAATTACTAAAATCAAAATAATATGAACCATTCATTTTAAGAAACAATGCTAACGATATTTTTTTTGTTCCAGTTAAGGGCCTAACATTATTGGCTCTTATTAGAATTGTAGATTAAGGGCCTAATATTATTGGCTCTTATTAGAATTGTAGATTGTAAATATTAGAATTGTAGATAGATAGATGTAGATTGTAGATATAAAGAAATAAAATTTGACTAGTACTAAGTATTTAGGTTGTTGTACATTTTACCAGGACTATGTGGTCCAATGGTACCCGGGTTGGACTTCCATTAGGAAGGTTGTGAGTTCAAGCCTCAATGGAGACGTTATTAGCTCTTTGTGTTTCAGTAGGTTGAGAAAGTATATGAACAGATACTACAATGTAATAGAGCTAGTAGCATTCAAAAAAAAAAAAAAAAAGGTTGTTGTACATTTTGGTCTAAGATGGAATCATACGATTGATCAACTTGCGTCTGACCAAACTAAAGTGACGACACCATTTCATTATCTATCTATCAATCCAAATATGCCTTTTTATTTGAATTTTGACCATATCTTATGTTGTGCTACCAACCATTCAACCAATTTTCTGACATATACCATACTACTGCACTATGCCATGTGCTATGTACAAGATCAATCTTTACATCGTGCAACTGCATTGTGCGTCCCGTCTTGTCCAAAACGACGTCGTTTTATTAAGTTGTGTGTGGAGTTAATGCGACGGAGTTTATATGTATTCTATTATATAATTATGTACATTCAAAATAAGAGATTTTTTAAGAGTTAAGAGTTTATGTGTATTATGTACTATGTATTATGTTAGATTATGTGTATTACCCTTTCAAAAGAGATTGTATATTATGTTAGAAGTTTATGTACATTTTATTATACAATTATATACATTCTATTATACAATTATATACATTCGAAACATTGAAATTTTTTTTAAAACTTAACAGCAGACATGGGAAACAGAATTTCCAAAAGAAAAAGATACAAAACGACATCGTTTTGGGCGAGGACGCACAATGGATATAATTTGCCTCATAGATAGATGCTAGTAATTTAAATGTCTTAATTGGACTAGTAGATATGTTGAAACACATCTTATAATTTATCTAATCCACTAGTCTTTAAAGTAGGCCGGATCGGTGATAAGCTTTTAAATTTGAGGTTTAGACTTATATAAAAAGATCAACTAATCCGTTGAACTAGGTTGAAAATTCAAGCACACTATCTATATATCAAGTTCAATGACATATTTAACATTTAGCCATATAATAAATTCAATAAAATTTATTTCAAACGCAATAAGTATTACTATAATTTTAAAGTGATAATACTTCTAAGGATCGGACTCACCTAATTAGTTGAGTTAAGAAGATTAACACATTAATTAGTTGTGCAAATTATTTTGTGGATCAAGGTTGACTATGTGAATTGTGAATTCGGTTCAAATTATGTACTTGCAATTATTATATTATGTATTTTCAGTTAATAAATTATGTATATATTTTAACATTATTCTAAATTCATAATATGTGAAGATACAATTATAAATATATAAATTAGACCGTGCATGTTGACCTTGGTTCATGGTGTGGATTCATGGGATAATTTGTATAATTTATATAAAGCATAATGGCCAGATGGTGTTCCAACCTATACTATGTTATGTAATGATTGAACATGTATAGCCGCAACATGGGCATGACTTATGAATTAGTATTTTTTTTTTTATGAATAATATGTAATTAATAATAAGCTGTTCGGTTGTTATACGTTGGATCATGGTCCATAGTGTTATGTGGATCATAATTGTCAAATGAAACTGTAGTAGAATTAAAATGATATTTTAGTGTTGCTAAAATGAAATTAGTGTGTGTGAAAAATGAAACTAAAAAACAAAGCTCATTCAGTAACGTATTGTCAAATGAAACTGTAGTATAATTAAAATGATACTTTAATGTTATTAAAATGAGACTAAAATTCAGAACCATACAATAACATATATTGTCAAATGAACGTGGAGTGTAATTAAAACAATATGTTAGCATTATCAGGGGCAGATCTAGAAATCTTCGTCACTTGGGGCGAAAGATTAAAAATCAATGAAATATTTTGAGAAAAATTACTTAGAGGCCGAGTCATAAATATTTTAAATTATGATGAAAAAAATACATCAAAATGAGATTAAAAAAGTATTCAAAATAAAATATGAAATATTATTAATTAGATAAAATAATTTGAATAGAAAACATATTATAAAACACACACATCACTATTAATATTAAAAATCAAGAAATTAAAGAAACACAATGTTACAAATAAAAATTCCACAAAATATGAAATATAATTAATTAGATAAAATAGTTCGAATAGA